ATTCATTTATAGCTGTAAAGTTGTTTTATACACAGTTCAGTGAAATTCCTGGATTCATTTATAGCTGTAAAGTTGTTTTATACACAGTTCAGTGAAATTCCGTTCCTTCACTTATAGTTAGTTTTTAAAAACACTTGTCTTCACTGTGTTTGGATTAGTTTTCCTAACACATTTAAAAGAATAACTAGAAAAACATGTTTAGTGCTTCTACATATTATGTGGCACTGAGAAAAGAAAATTGACTAACACAACGTACATTAACACAACTTTGGAAATTGGTCTTAAACAAAAGTATTTGCGGCCTCTAAAGTTTCATTCTAAGGTCACAGATATGATATCACGTGCATGGATTGACTATGTGCTGTCTGCATCGTGTCCACCACTCCTGAATTTTAGTGCTAAGTCACCAAAGCAAAAATTTCATGTGAGATTTCCACGTCATTGACCTATTCATCTATAAATAATTTAGTAATAACTGTAAGATTTATCATAAAGATTTAAAAATGTCAAACTTGATAACCTTATTATATACAAAAATAACATGATTTGTCAGTTAACTAATTAATAATATACTTTTTTCTTTACCTACCTATATATGTGGTGAAGCCTTCCAGTTTTACCAGAATTTCTGGCTAAAAATACCACCCACAGTTAGAGTACTCAACTTCTGAATCAATGTATTCTAATCATTGTAGGTTTCAGTTTTCTTTATGATATTAAGTACTTCTGGAAAATATAATAATGGTTGAAAACTCGCCAAATCAAAATGATTGTATTGGTGACCACAAAAACGTTTCGGGCAACTGTCCTTCAATGAACAGCTGTTGCCTGAAACAAAGTAGACAGACAGACAAAGAAGATGAGAAGTAAAGTTATGAGAAGGAATTCGGCCAAAGAAATGTTAAATGCAAAGTTAATTGTTGTAGGAGTGGAAGGCCTAACGATTAATATAGGCCTAATGGTTGATATATATTAGTGAGACTAATGGTGTTGAAAGAGAGATAAGAAAAATTTATTTTGTCAAAGAGAGTTTAAAAACAATTGAACCAGCCTCAGTGGACTTTGAAAAATAGGCAGACAATTCTTGGAAATACAAAGAAAGAAAAAAGAGTAGATGATTTTAGAACTATAGGATACAACCATGGTAAATCGACTATAAAGTAAGTGAACTATACTCGGATAGTTTGGTGATGGTAATAGAGAAAAATAAATCGGCTTATCAACTGAAATTCTAAAGCAACTGAATAGGCCTAAGTGGACTTTTGACAACAAGAAGAAAACTATATAGTGTTTATTATATGCCTATAATCTCTATAGTGTAAACTTGTTATACATACATTTAACTAGTTCCGAATATAGATATTATTTTGAAAACAAGTGGAGTGAGTGCTGTTTGTTGATTTTTGAATTCATCACCAATAAGTTACAGACACCTACTGTAGAAGAATCCTAAGCACAACAACAACACCCATATTATTCAAATTACTTATTAAATACTACTACCATACATAATATTGAGAAGAATAAGCCTCATTATTTTGAGTTACATTTTCGTTGTTTTTTTTTAATTTTACTTACTTCCTTATCAGAAGATCTTATTAATCCATTGCATCAATAATTAAAACATCAAACTCCCCTTTTACGTGAGCTCTCAACTTAAAATATGTTGTTTCTCCCATAACTGAATCTTACATTATAATGCTTATTTGATAGGGAATTCAACCAATTCAGTTTTCTACTTTATTACTGTGAACATGCGAGTGAAACATGAACACATTTATATTAATCAGACTTTCATCCAATAAAGTGTAGATTTGGTACTTCAGTATTATCGGTTCATGAGTAAAACATAAATCAGGAACACATATTTATGTTAAAATATCCATACAGATTTTATTTGCACCAACAAAAAGCTATTAATCAAAAAACAACATAAATATCTTAGGATAACGAATTCTTTTAATGGTAATGAACTCTCTTCATAATTAAACAGTGATTAGGACAGAGACAAGCATTCAGATGAATTCTTGCCAAAATAACAAATATAATGTTAACATTTTTATAAAATATCAGAAACATATGTTGTGCACTATCGTAAAATCTCCACAAAAGGTCTTCACTAAGATAGTTGTTTGGAGAACGTACCTTCTTTAGTATTTGTTAATTTTAACAAGCAGAGTAATAATTTTTATATTATGTACATATATATATATATACACTGAATAGAGGGAAAACATTGCTATTATCTATGTTGTGTTAATATCAAGTTTGCCACCACCAAGCTGGTCCTAACATAATTAAAAAGAAAAATTTTGGATAATTTAACACAGTATCTGGCTTTACAAAATTTTGAAACATAGGGTAGTATCTCTTGTAAGAATGGTTTATAAGATTAGCTTAAGTATGATCTGTTACACTTGTTACTTCTTAATATTACAAATAACATTACGGTTTTGGACATGCAGAAAAATAAACGCAAGCTCAAGATGGAAGGGTTAGAAGTCATAACATTAGAAGCTATTGTCATCACTCAGGTGTTTGTTCATCTATTTACTATATTTATATCCCACCACCCTATTTCACTGGTGTCCCAGCTGGCATTCCACGTGGACTGAACTGAAAGATATGATATAAAAAAATATTATTACTTTATTTTGGAATATAACAAGTTGCAAAACACAGTTACACATCAGGTTGATCCAGCCCTTCCCTATGAAAGATTAGACCCGTAGAGAATGAAAAATTAAGAGCGGTATAATTTCTTACATGAGTGACGTACTGTAGTAAGATTTCCTGCTACCATACACTTGAAACAAATTTAATACTTGAAATTTAATATGTATTAATGATCAATGTAAGGACTGAATGAAGTCAGAAAGGTAGACCATACTGATGAAAACTAACATAATATTTGTTTGTTCTCAATTTCTCGCTAAGCTACTCAGCAGACATCTGCACTAGTTATTCTTAATATTGAAGTAATAGATTAGATGGAAGGCAGCAAGTCAACACCATCAACCACCAAAATGGTCTACTCTTTACCAACGTTTAGTGGTATTGACTGTCACTTTATAACACACCCATAGGTGAAAGGGCCAGATTGTTTTGGGACCAAATTCTATGTCCTAACACATTAAAAAAGGGGAAATAACGATTATTATGTTCATAGTTTACTCCTAGTAAGACTGGTATATTAAACTAGCTATATTAATAACTGGATTAATTTTTAGTTTTGATGTACGTAAGTAGCTTACACCGATTAGAAGGTAACAATAAATATTTAAAATGTAGCATTACAATTCTCTACAGGTATACAAGTTACTCATCTAACTGCCGCTAACAGCTGTGTCACTGATGTGTAATGAGAAACACTATCATACCACAAGTGATGCAGTAATACCTGATACCTGGTATATCATGGGGTGTGTAGATGTATTAACCATACATTTGTTTTACATCACGAGTCATTAAAATCTGGGATAAGATGTAGATCCTGGGTGTGCAGATGTATTAATTGTACATTTGTTTTACATCACAAATCAGACAGTAACATCTGTGCCAGAAATGTAGGTTTTAGGTGTTTTGATGTACTAATATAGAACATTGTTCCTGAAAATGATAAAGTATAGGTTTTTGAAAGGAAAGTTTTAGGCAGTGTGTTGACATGTTGAATAGTTTCCTTTTGGACTGTTCCTGCCTTTTTTCTGGTTTTGGAGACAAATTTTTGTGGTGTTAGAAATTCACCAACATTTAGAGATGTCTGTGTCAAAAATGGTGAGACAAGAATTCAAAGTTAGAGTTATAGCAACTAGAATATAAAGCAGTCTTGATAAACAAATATTTATGTCATAATTCTCAGGAATATACAGCTATTTTAGGTTTTATATTAGGCAAATAACATCCAATAAAGTGGAAAGCCTTGTTTGAATATTCACAACTGAACCTATATCAAAGTCAGTGTCTCTGTCATAAGAATGGCAGACACACAAGCAAACAAAAATAACTACTTACAATTAAACGTACACCAAAATGGGTGTCTTTGTCTGAGCAACTTGTAGCAAGGGCAGACTTAATAACCCCATTGGGGCACACAGCTATGAACCTTCCCTTTTCAACTGCTGACTCAAGGACTATGAAGTTTTTATCAAAAGGAACCTCTCGAGCTCGAAAGCGACAGTAACCAGTTCCTGCATTTCTAGAGCCCTGAACAGGTAGAGAGAAACACAATGTAAACAAAAAGTTCTGAAAAATACACTGTCAAAGATATGGTAGAGTTTTCTGATTCAAAATCTTGATCACACACTAATGCATTCTGCATTATTTTTTAACTTTCTTTTAAACTTAATAAATTTATTCTCTGAGGAGAAAAACAAAACATTAACGTGAAGCAGTTATAAATACAATTATATGAATGTTGGTACACAAATGTGTAGTGAACATACATACATATCCTAAGGCATGGCATTGCTTTACCGAATTTCACATCTCAAATTAATCTCCTTAAAACATCTCTAATACTCAAGTTATGTTGAATTATCAACTTTATCTTAACACTGAGTTCAGCAAGAGTACTTTTCTTTGATAGATTGTTTAGGCAGACTAGTCATGATAAGTACACTGGAACATGCTGCAACTGTAGAAAACACACAAGTGTAATATCTTCCATTTATACTGAAATGTTATTCTCTTCACCAGATAGTTGCTGCCCATTCCATTGTACTCGTCACATTCATCTTTCCTATGTATTAAATTTCTTTTAAGATGTAATTTCCAGTAAAACTTAAAGTAACTGACTTTTAATCTCTAGAGTTATAGCAGACTATTCTGTTATTTTAATGCTATGAGCTCAGTCTACAACATTCGATGCGTTAATTGATAATATACAAGGACGATCCATATTAGTCCATGTTGTAATCCTAAATATATCACTGAATTATACAAGCTAGATGTAAAGCAATATACATTCTTTTTTTAGCTATATTGATAGTAGACTAAAACATAAACATTTACAGCTGAATGAAGTTGTAGTGTTCCACTGATGATAGCTAGGTAGTTAAAGTTGTTGTGAAGTTGAACAATACAGTCTTCTTCTCTCATTACAGTGAAGTGAGCTGGAAGATAATTTGAAGTCTCAAATAAATATTGTAAGACACTCTGCTATTAAATACAACTAGATAAAAATAACACATTCATAAGATTACTTTCATGTATTACAAAAACACAAGTATTTAGTGTCCCTGAATATTCTTTTATCTTCTAGTGTTTTGTGTGTGTGTGTTTAAGTGATACGTTTGTTCCATATTCTTTTATCTTCTACTGTTGTGTGTGTGTGTGTTTAAGTGATACGTTTGTCCCATATTCTTTTATCTTCTACTGTTGTGTGTGTGTGTGTGTGTGTGTGTATAAGTGATACATTTGTCCCATATTCTTTTATCTTCTACTGTTGTGTGTGTGTTTAAGTGATACGTTTGTCCCACATTCATTTATCTTCTACTGTTTTGTGTGTGTGTAAGTGACACGTTTGTCCCAACATGATTTAAGTTGCTCTCTTGTTTATTCTTTTATATGACCCATTTTCTATGTCCAAGTAGTAATTTTCAGTTCCTAACTACAGTGAGTTTAATTCTGTATTTGATTGTACTTACTCTACAAGTCTTTTTTTATAATTGTATCTACACAAACAAACTTTACTAAAATAAACCAAGTGATACTATAGTGTGCAGTCTACAAAGATATTTACACTATAGCATTAGGTCTACACAGATACTATCATCATCACCGTTTAACTTTCGTTTATTTGCAATTGGCGCCATTTATTATAAATAATTCTATTAAACTAATAAAGTATAAAATACCATTACTATCACAATTATAACCTAAATTTAAGGTACTATTTTGGAACACACAACTTATTAAATTGTTATTATTTGCTGAAGAAAAACGTGTATAGATATAATTTATTTAACAAGAAATTATGTTTTAATGAATCATAGAGTAAATATCTTTGTAGATCACACACTATAGTAGCACCAGTAAATCTTCCTTCACGTATCTACACAAACAACTTGTACTGTAATAAATGTTCATTCATTATATCTACACAAACAACCTGTACTATAATAAATGTTCATTCATTATATCTACACAAACAACCTGTACTATATAATAAATCTTCATTCATATATCTACACAAACAACATGTACTGTATAATAAATCTTCATTCATTATATCTACACAAACAACTTGTACTATAATAAATCTTCATTCATTATATCTACACAAACAACCTGTACTATAATAAATCTTCATTCATTATATCTACACAAACAACCTGTACTATATAATAAATCTTCATTCATATATCTACACAAACAACCTGTACTATAATAAATCTTCATTCATTATATCTACACAAACAACCTGTACCATAATAAATCTTCATTCATATATCTACACAAACAACCTGTACCATAATAAATCTTCAGTCATATATCTACACAAACAACCTGTACCATAATAAATCTTCATTCATGTATCTACACAAACAACCTGTACTATAATAAATCTTCATTCATATATCTACACAAACAACATGTACAATAATAAATCTTCATTCATATATCTACACAAACAACATGTACAATAATAAATCTTCATTCATATATCTACACAAACAACCTGAATAGTTAAAGCAAAAGAATGGTGAAGAATAAATACTATTAAAGAATTGATGCCCTTCTCCACCAAGTCCATCTAATACCAATCTTCCATCTTGTGCTTGAAGGATCTGCAGACTGCGCCCCGTAACTCGAGATACCAACTGTACAACATTACCAGCTTGTAAGTGGTTCTGCAAGTAACAAATTAAACATAATTTAACTCTCTATTAAACAAATCAACAAATATTTGAACAATGTATGAAGCAAAGAGCTAAGTGATTACCTCAGTCACCTATGAGCATCTGTAAGTGTTGTATATAATAGTGAATCAAATTTATGATAAATTTTACAAAATTAAACAATTAACAAACATATTGCATTGTGATTTCTCATTATAATTTTCAATTAATTCAAAATTATTCCTCTTATTTGATAAGTACCATGACTTTAGAAAGTAATCAACTGATTATTCCAGTTATCTAAATCTCGAAGGAGAATTATCAAATAACAAATTCCACTAACCACCCAGCTTTAAGTTGGTGCAACAACTTTTGTTACAAGAACCTTATGACTAAAAAAAACTGTTTGTTTGTAGTTATGCACAAAGCTACACAATGGGCTATTTGTACTCTGCCCACCATGGGTATCGAAACTCAGTTTCTAGCGTTGTAAGTCTGCAGACATACACTTGTGCCACTAGGGGGGCTCTAAAGAAACTAACAAACACTTAGAACAGTTATATAACGGCTCAACATGCATATAACTATATTACTTATTAAACAGATTTTGAGCAAATACATAACATATTACAGATACTACCACAGCTGGATATTTTTACACAATAAACTGTTCAATAATTAATTCAAAAATACAATAACAGCAACTTTTACAGTAGGCACGTATTAATTAAAAAAATTACAGCATTATGATCCATAGTATCAAGTCATTATCAGGTAAGTTACATTTAAAATGATTATAACTATGGGTCTCAATAATAATACTGTATTTTCAGTGAATCATGAATATATCTGTAGACTAAGCAGGCATCAAAATAACACTACTCATGAAAAGCACTATCTCATTGGACAAAGCTATATGCAAGATTTTGGCTGCTCTTGTATGTCTGATCTTCAAATAACTTTGTTTCTGAATAACTTTGTAGCTGTGTCCATTTTAATTGTTGTGGATGCAGCCCAAACATCTGTCATACGAAGTGGGCCATGATCAAAGCAGATACCAGCATGAGCCTCCCGTATATATATATATATATAACACAGCATAGAAAATTAATAGGTTTAGCAAAGCAATTATTGGTGTTATAAACATCATGTTCAGTAGGGTTCATTTGTTGAATTTCCTAATTTTGAATTGATTGACTAGAAGGAAAGGAGCTAGTCAACACCACCTACTGGCAATTCTTGGGCCAATGAATAGTCAGATTGACTGTCACATTATAACACCCCCACAGCTGAAAGAAGAAACTTGTTCAATGACAGGACCTGATCCACAGATTGTGAGCAGATCATTCTAACATGGATTATTAACTTAGTTAACCATTAACTAATAAAAAAAAAATTGTTACAATCTTTCAGTAAAAAGACACTTATCTACTCCCAACTCGCTTCTTTCTGGTCCTCCAAGTGTTCCATTCTTATATCATTACCGGTAATGATATAAGAATGGAACACTTGGAGGACCAGTAGGATGTGAGTAGGTAGTAGATAAGTGTTTTTATACTCGTGTGGTAATGATATAAGAATGGAACACTTGGAGGACCAGTAGGATGTGAGTAGGTAGTAGATAAGTGTTTTTATACTCGTGTACACGAGTATAAAGACACTTATCTACTACCTACTCACATCCTACTGGTCCTCCAAGTGTTCCATTCTTATATCATTACCACACGAGTATAAAAACACTTATCTACTCCCAACTCCCATCCTTCAGATGTTACACTCTTAGATGTAGAAATATCATTACCACCCGAAGATAAAAAACTACCAGCTCAGATCCTTCTGGCCCTTCAAATGTTACGCTCTCGGATGTAGCTATATTGGTACCTAGCAAGTTTGTGGGTGAAAGCATCAAGATATTGATGCATCCTCATCACCCCTGTGAATGACCTCACAGATGGCTCAAATTTTCTGTCCTGTGTCCAATGGGACAGTGCTATTTTGCATTACTGTATCATTCAACTGAGCATGCACATAAAAATATAATAAGTATACACTTTCTTCAAAATAAATTAAAATAGGTTGCAATTACCAATAAAGGATGATCAATGTAGCGGTTTAAAGTCTTTGCACCTGTGGAAACTAAACTTCCTACAACACTTCCAACTTCCTTTCCAATATTCATCAGGGTACCTGTTAGCCCATGACTACTCTTCACAGCACCCTAAATTACATCAAATATGTTAATCTCAGAATCTCACAGAACAGTTTTCTCTTATGAAGCTAAAAAGTAAATTTAATTATTACAACAAAAATGTCCTTTAAAATGTCACTCAAAGAATCAGGAAATAAAGGCATGATTGGTTAATAATATTATGAAGGTTACTCAAAGAATCAGGAAATAAAGCCATGATTGGTTAATAATATTATGAAGGTTACTCAAAGGTTCAGGAAATAAAGGCATGATTGGTTAATAATATTATGAAGGTTACTCAAAGGATCAGGAAATAAAGCCATGATTGGTTAATAATATTATGAAGGTTACTCAAAGGTTCAGGAAATAAAGGCATGATTGGTTAATAATATTATGATGGTTACTCAAAGGATCAGGAAATAAAGGCATGATTGGTTAATAATATTATGAAGGTTACTCAAAAACATCAGGAAATAAAGCCACGATTGGTTAATAATATTATGAAGGTTACTCAAAAAAATCAGGAAATAAAGCCATGATTGGTTAATAATATTATGAAGGTTACTCAAAGAATCAGGAAATAAAGCCATGATTGGTTAATAATATTATGCCTAGAATTTGTTCATTCATTCTTCACAAGTCCTAGATAGTTGACCAATTGAAAACTTCACATTAATTCTATTCTTCTACTTAGTGTTAAATCTTGTGGCTAAAAACATGTTATAATCCAGAAGACAAACAAACTAAAGAAATGGAAGGATACTTAACCTTTAATAACCTTACCATCCAAAATTAACCAGTGGTCTTTAAACAGCACAAATATGAACATTCTGTTTGAACTATTACAGCTCAAGTATAATATGATAACAAGACATCCAAAATCAAAAGTTAATTAGCATTAAGAATTTCTTTACATGTTTCCATTTATCAGTAAAAGGTATGATAAAAAACTGCATGGATACATCAAGCTCATGTGGTTTTTCATGATACATCTTAGCTTATTAGTTTGGTTTTTCATTCAAATATTTAGTCTGTAGCTTACTAATCTGTTCTGCTTTTCACTGATACAAAAAGTCTGCAGTCTAAGCCAGGCTCAAAAATATTTCTGTTTGCTGTAACCCAACCGACCGTCTGAAATTGGGGTAGACTGAGATTGTTTTGAAATTATGACATGGGAAACTTGTATTTTACCAATTTCTGCCGATATACTAACCAATCTAAAAAAAAAAAGTGCCAACTTTAAAATTTTTATCACCATATTATGGTTAGAATATTTTTTTTCTCAAAAATTAATATAGTCCATGACAAAATGGGAGGGCATAATCTGATTACTAATCAACAGCTCAATGCTGAATGGCCAATGCATAGATGTTTGACAACATGGCTTATCTCCCGCACAGGATCGTTCACGCTTAACTAATAAATACACAATGTGGCGAACACAAGTCTGGTCAGTGTATACACCTACTAAAAATGTTCTCGCAGATTAGGATAAAAAAGAAATAATTTGGATTGGAAACTTATCCAGATGGAAGGATGCACTTGTAGATTTATTTAGCAAATGAGATGAAATGGAAGAAGAAATAGTAAAATTATCAGCAATAATCAATTCAACTCTTCGTCAATTGAGGTCGATGTTGACCAGCAAGTGTGTGTTGCGAATGAATATGATAAAAACTTGCTATATGCTGACATCCTTTTAACTATTTATAAATCAGGTTATCTAGCCTCACCAGGATCGACTGGCTAAGAACTCTCAAATTATTTTCAAGTATGCCTTGTCCATCTCACTTAAGCAAGATGTCATTTTCTGCAGACACTTAATATTTAATTCATATATCATATGACATTAATAATAACAACACTTGAGCATCCAGTTAGAGAGTTTTAACAGCCTGCATAGGCCTAGCCTTAAGGTTCATAGATATAAAATTTAAAAAATAATTAAAATCAATGTGTCATATTTACACAATTTTTAAAACTTTATTGAAGCCATCCTCCACATTGTCTTCAGGAGTCATTTGCAAGACAATAATTTATACCTTTTTCATGTCATGCGATATTACATTCATCAATACACGCAACTGATGGACCTTCATCTTTGTTTAATAGTTCTTTTTGTTTATTTAATTTTATTATTTCTAGTGATTCTCTGACATTTAAAGTTGTAATACTACAAGGTTCAGATAAAATTGTAGGTTTTCCCATTAAATTGTGTTGTGTTGTTTTTACATGTTCTGCTGTAGCTGAGTTTTCTACTTTATCATTTCTCCAGGTAATTGTTATGTTCCTGTAATCTCTATTTTAAATTTATTTTAGTTTGACCAATATAAATACTCCCAGGTTCACATTCTATTTCATAAATCCCATTTTTACCTTTTAATTCTATTTTATCTTTATTATTCCCTAACATCTCTTTAATCTTATTTACAGGTTTAAAGATGGGATAAAAACTTTTTTGTTTCTTAAAAACTTTAAATAATTCACCTGTTAATCTGGGAATATAAGGTAAACTTAAAGTTTCTTCTTTGGTTTTTCATAAACAGATCTTAATGTAGTATTTTTTTCACTAACACTGAACCTTTGCTAAACTTCTTAAATGCTCTATCGACTATATTAGGTTCAAGTCCTCTTTCAACAGCTACATACTTGTTTGTTACTGAAATCTTCCTGTCTTGAACACATTTTTAAAGCTCTGTTAACACGTGTATAAAATGCAGAAATATTTTGATATGACATGATTCCTGGTGTGACGGTATTATGGCAGCAAAAGGTTTTCTGTAAAATGAACTTGGAGTAGTAGCTTTAGCTTTCATCATTGCATGTAGCCAATATCATTAATACATCTACTATGTGTACTTCTAATCTGTTTTACTTTTCACCAAAATAACTAGTATATTTGACTTTCCATAAATAAATCTAGTCTTTGTGACTTTTCATTGTTACATACAGTCTGTCTGGCTTTCCATTTATACATATAGTATTTTGCCTACTAGCCTGTTTGGCTTGAAACAATACACCTAGTCAATAATATACTAGCCTGTGTTTGCTTTAAACAATACATCTAATCTATAACATACTAGCCTGTTTGGCTTGAAACAATACACCTAGTCAATAATATACTAGCCTGTTTTGCTTTAAACAATACATCTAATCTATAATATACTAGCCTGTTTGGCTTGAAACAATACACCTAGTCAATAATATACTAGCCTGTTTTGCTTTAAACAATACATCTAATTTATAACATGCTAGCCTGTTTGGCTTTAAAAAATAAATCTAATGTATAATGTACTAGCCTGTTTGGCTTTAAACAATACACCTAGTCTATAACATGCTAGCCTGTTTGGCTTTTTATTGATACAACTAGTTTTCAGCCAGTATGGTTATAAAATAACTTTTTCTTCGCAAGCAAAATTCTGCTTAACACTATCTGACTGGGCATCATTTACTGCACATGTCATAAGGTTTTAGTGTCTTACATTCAGAATTTTATTAAATTACTTTTTGTGTTATACCAATTAGTATAGCATAAAATCATGGCTAATAATATAAGTTTTATGTTCTTAATTTTATAAGGCAATATTTAAAAAATCCTGAATTTCCCCTAGTGTGAGAAAGGTGACAAATTTTCTGTATGCATCCCATCTTCTTTATTCTATTCACCACACTTCCAATAAGTATGAAATGCAATAGAAATTACTCACTATAAAATTGTCATTGCTCAGACAAATCATAATTTTTATAGCTTTCAATTTTGTTTGGTTACAGAGCCATCAGATATAAAATCAGACCCCTCTTGCCACACCTACTTGCCACATCAATTCTTTTAGGATTTGTTAATAATTTGTTCTTACATTTAATATTATCTATAACAAATAGAAAGCCAATGTTTTCATCTGTCAACTGATGTATTATATTATGTTGTGTTCTGAACAGAGATTTGTAAATTTCTCTTTTAGTATAAGCTTTGTACCCAAGGGAAAGATAACAACTAGCTTGGATGAATTTGTAACAGCTCTTGTCGCATAGTTAGAAAGCCAGAAAAATTGTAATAGTTTGAGGAAATTTTCTGATTTAAATAAAAATTATTTTGTGCATTACTACAATTAGTATAAAAAGTAGGGTTAAGTGTCATTGACAATTGACAGCAAAAAAGAAGACGATACAGGTAAGTATTTTATTTCTTGTTTTTCATGGTTATTCTTTACTTATTATTATAAAAGTAACTAAAATGTAAACATAGGGATCTCTTTAGGTTAGTTAAGGTTAGATTAGGTAAAATGAATATAAATACAGTGTAGCCCCATAAAATGCGATTGTTGAGGTCCATAAAATGTCATCGCAAAACAAGTGAGGTCGTGCTAAATAGGGGTTCAATCGGGGTATTATTTAATTAAATAAAAATTGTTTACTGCATTACTATAATTACTAAAAAAATCAGGCAAGAAAAAAGAATATTGTGTACGTACTTTATTTCTTGTTTTTCATATTTATTATTATAAAAGTAACTAAAATTTCGACATGTTTTGGTGGTTGTGAGGTTGGTCGAATTGACCGATATCATTTTGAGCTAAGGTAGAGAAAATAACATAAAAACCATAAGGATTTAGTGAAAAAAAAACGTTTGAAATGCATTTAGGAGGTTTTAAG